TTCACAGCAAGTTAGACAAACAACAGCTACTGGAGCTCAGGGACAAGGAAGTATTCATGACCCAGAGGAGGACAGCCAACCTTTACTGAATACAGCTTTAGAGAATGAAGAAAACCGTGATTTGTGCACACCCTAATAACCAACTAGACAAATACTAACAAATATGTAAAGATGAATCAAAATATGGGCACAACAGCCCCACAGTATGAGGGTAACTGATCTCAGACTTTGGAAATGTTAAAATCTAAACATGCACAGCCCAATGTGTGCAACAGTATGTGCTTTACCAGTACAAGAGCCTTTAATATAGGCTGATCTGAGCAGCAAGTGCAAGGCAAGTCTGCCTGAAAACCCATCTAATGTAAGCATGGTTTCTATGGCAACCATAGCCCAGCGCATGAGTGCAGAAACAGTAAAGCACCAAATCTAAAACTGCGTCCAGCAGCAAATGTCATTTAGTAGCACACTACTATTCTAACTATTAATGTTTTTATAGTATCCAGGTTAGGTGTTAATGTCTATAAACACCATATTCTTGCTTATAGAAACCTCATTATACCTGGAAATCTGAATATGTTATCAACATGTCCAGGTCTGCCATAAGCATAGGTACATCCTCAACCTTAACTATGTAATTATATGATCTGTAATTGTACCAATATTCTGCATGAAGTGGATAAATTGTACCTTTGATCTCATCCTCCATTACTGAATTAGAAGAAGCAAATCGAAAGCCAAAGTGGGTTCATCTCCAGCTGTTAATGTATACAGTGAGCTGAATAACCATGTTTTATTATGTTCCATGTAAATGTTTCAGTATACTCTAAATATAATCAAATCCAGGACAATGGTCTGCATGTAAATATACTCTGTAGGAGCCATTTCCTAAAGAGAAGTCACAGTAAAATTTGTAGTTCACCAAATGTACATTGGGTGTCACCTTTGTGCTGTGATCAATATAGTATCTAGTTATTTATTTTCAGGTGTCAGGTGTTGCTAGATGGAAAGGGCCGTCATGCAGGGAAAACACTACTGTGAGGAAGTGGTGAAAATGGTGGCTTTATAGAGACATTTATGGACTGACTGCTGAAATGGATCAATTGAAGATCCTTGTGCCTTGAGCAATAAAAACACCATGTAAAGTCAGAATAATAAAAAGCTGTTTACTGCACTGCACACATGGCAGGCTGTCAATGAACACTATATGGAAATTTAAAGGAATAGTTCAACATTTTGGGAAATATTCGTTTGCTTTCTGGCTGAGAGCTAGATCAGACGTTTGATACCATTCTTCTGTCTGTTGAAAGGATGCTGAAACTAGCAGGCACCTAGCTTAGCATATAGACTGGGAATGGGGAAGCAGCTAGCCTACAGAATCTACCTACCAGCACCTCTAAAACTCACTGACTAGCACATTGTATCTTTTTTGTTTATTACAAACATAAACCACAGTACACAAACAGCAAAATGTGGCTTTACAATGGGGTTATGTTATGTGAGCTATTTATTGGTCAGGAGCAGAGATGTCCCTGACTCTCTGCTCGTTGTCTTTCGAGCTAATAGCTTCTGGATCCAGCTACATTTTGAACATACAGACACGAGAATGGTATCACTCGTTCAATTCCATTTATGTCAAGAAAGTAAATAAGCATATTTCCTGATATTCCTAGTTTTCTAAAAGCATGGGTTTGAATTTTTTTGTGCTTTTTCAACAGTCCTATAAAAAGTTGAATATATGTGTATGTAGAACCACTTGTTGTGGGGGCAGTGTAATCGTGATGCCGTGCCCAGAGCTTTACAATCCTCTCTCCAATGTTTCCCACTTAACACCGTGTAATGCCACCCAACAGCACAGCATGAGTTCCTCCAAATGGATGTGTGTGTGTGTGTGTGTGTGTGTGCACATGAGGACATCCCTTTAACTGATCCTAAATGTTCTCCAGAGATACTAATACGTGTAAATGGGAGTTCTTCCAACTCTGCTAACACACAAAACAACCACTCCATGAGAAGTTGGATGTTGTACGTTTAAACCCATAAATTTAAAGGGAGTGAGTTAAAGCTGCATGAAGTGGAAAAACTCCAACAGATCAGAAGTTATAACTGAAATCCTGTTGCACGTGGAGAATTTTCATGTCATAGCTTATGATCACATGTCAGCAGCCAGATAGACCAATGTCCAGATGTTAATCTGAGTGATGAATACTGTTCACTGTACCTTGGTCCAGCCTGTGACAGAAGGTCAATTTAGCCAGCTCCACCTCAGGCCCCGGGTGGTCCAGTACCTGCCTGCACCACTGGAGAGGGCTGAGGACACTCTCACCCTGCAGTTTGGCCTTGGGACTTACATACAGCCTAGAACAAATGGCAAAACCCAGAGTTTAGTCCTGCCACCTTTACAGCACAGCCTATACTATTACTTTACAGGGATAACTGAAATGAAATATGAGGGTGCTGCATTTTATTTGTGGGCACGGGTTTTACGGTGACAGTATTTCTCAAATAGATGACCCAGTAAATTAAACATGCCTCTGCAAAGGGAGCAATTTCCCTAAAATACAAATGTCAAAGCACCCTAAAAGTTCCATAACCATCTGCTGCCATTTTATTGGCAACAAAATAAGCTATAAAAGCAACAAAAACTAAATTTATTAGCTCTTGAAACTGGATTCCCACTTTAATTTGTGCTTGTTATCAGCAGATCAAAACTGACCATTTAATAAGGAGGGTAAAATAAATTTAATTTTACTTATAATGCATGACTGTAAAGTAGATCAATATATATGTATGTGTCTGTGCTACAGTGAAAGCTACCTGTCAGCAGATACAGCGCTTCAAAGCAACTCAGCCTGGGACTCAACACTACACACAAAGCTCAGCTGTCTGATCACAGGCTGAACGGGGTCTTTGTTTCTAATTTCATCCCAGTAGATATTACTGGATACTACCCAGTAGATGCTACTTGCACATTGCGCTCTGGGATGCAACAAAGCTTGTGTCTGATCTGTTTTGTCCTCTTTCCTCCACCCTGCTTGCCAAGTGTCTGCAAGTCAACTCTTCTAGGAGAGAAATCAATAACGCAATCAATAAGTGGATACATGGCTAAGTAGTATTGGACATGATGTGTCAGAACTCTGGCTGTGACAGTGCTGTGGCCTATAGCATCTGTTATTGTCAGAAAAACCTAAAGGACACAAAGACATATACTATGTGTGGCTGCAACAAAGTAGCGGATATAAACAGAGTGGTTACCAGCTATCAGGCTCTCCGACAGGGAGCATGGTGTTGAGGTCCAAAATATCAACCTCATCCAGAACAGTTGTGGCTCCCGGGGCGTCGTTGTCCTCCCCGGTGGCACCATGAGACACCGAGCTCGGCTGAAAATAAGAGAACGGCTCCTCCGTGGAACCCCTGGGTGCCGGAGCACACGGATGCGACTGCGTCGGACTCGAAATGCCATATTTAGTGGTGAAATTGTCACTCGGACACGCCGAACCGCCGTGCAGACACGGTAACGAGGTCTGGAGATGAGGGCCGATGGAGCAATTGTTTACAGCGTTCGCTCTCGTCCGCAATTGTTCGTTTTGTTTCTCCAGTTTTAGGACCAATTCCTGAAGCTTTAACACCTCCAGCTCCGCGTTGGAGATTTTATTCCTGCCACTGACGTCTGCCATTATCTGGGGGCTCAACACTTCGGCTTCCATTTGGTAAAAGGTACATTGAGAAGGGGGGGGAAACCACGGCCTGCCTGCAGAGGGTCCTACTCAATTCAGAAAGGGTGTCCAGATCCCACTGTTTAAAGCTACTACTACACACGCACACTCACACTCACAGATGCACACGGTGATGCTGCTCCTGGTATGACTGCACAGCCCCCATCTCATTGGCCAGCAGCTGAACTCTCATCACACCACTGCTGAGGACCTATTTATTATGAGTCGCACACATACTGTGCTTATAAAGGGTATTCGGGGACTTTTCCTCGTTTTAAGTGGAAACTTAACATTTATAAGGTGTAAACGTTTAATAAAATGTTTATAATAATTGTAACCAGACATGAGGACCTTTTATGAATGTTCAGTATTTGCCAACAATTATAACAAATATTTTATATCATTACATTTAGTTGTTCTCCATTTATTAAATATCTATATACTGCTAATTAATGCTAAATCGGGGGCTTACAGTTAAGTGATGACATGCAAGAAAACCATTGAATCAAAGTGGATGTGCCAAAACAACAGTACTTAAATACTGACTGAGGAGGCCAGATATAATGTTACAGATTTTGTTTCATGAGAATAAAATAATTATCAGTTCAATACTTGATGATTTTAAAAATAACATAGAATTGAACTCAAATAATAATATTTCTGGAAAAAATTAATTCTCTTTCAAATCATATCAAAATTTTTTCTGCCTTTTTCTGTTCTATTAAATTATATATGATCACATAATAAATGTATAATCTAAGCATACCTCATAACTGTGATGCTAATAATTAAGAAGAATGATATGAACAAGGATCATGGCAACCCCCAGAAAATGGACACATATTTACACTTTTTTTTAAAAATAAAGATACATCAATTGTCTTTATTGCACACAGAAAAAGCCCCCGGCCCTAATTATTGTAACATCTCCTCCCATGTTACATAAGAGTCCCTCAGAGGCAGCAGGCTTAAGAGAATATCAAATGCAAACTTAAGCTTATGATACAATGACATAAAAATCTAATGTCAACATGACTAAAAAAGGTTATATCCATAACACAACTCCCATTTTCAGGAAAGACCAGAAAAGAATTGTAATTATATCAAAATCAAAGTACAGCAGAACCAGTGTCACCCAAAAAGGACTGATAAACAGTATTCCATTTCACCTTTAATCACATATGCTAGACCTCCAGTGAATGCTGGGGAGAAACTTAGCGTCTCCATTTATCTGTGTGGGGGTGAGAGAGAATGCTACCTGTTAAATTCAATGTATTTTATTTATAATCATTCAGCAAACAAATACATATAAACATATATTAAGTGGAGTCAGACATTTAAAGAGACGCAGAATGGAAAGTAAATTATTTTACCTCTGGTGATCTCAAAGCAGTTCTCACAGTGCACCATGCGTTTGTAGACCCACATGCTGTCCCCAGCTTTCAGATGGCTCAGAGAGCTGTTACACACCCCACACTGTCAAAACAGACAGACACACTGAGCAGCTGCACAGCTTCTGATAAACATCTTGTTGCTAAAGGCAGATTGTAACTTCATTTTACTAACAGAAATCTATAATTCAACTTCACTACATTTCAGAGGACTATATTATACTTCTTACACTACTACATTTCTCTGATGGCTGTAGTTACTTATTACCTTGCTTACTAAGATTTTACATATAAAATATATGTTCACTTTTTAAACTATGCTCCATATCGACCAGCTACAACTTTAAAATACTGTTTATGATTTAATGCATCCGTAACCAGTCATATATATTATTCTAGTGACAATTATATAGTTTTGCTTAAATAATACTTCTTCTCCAACCACTGCTTGCTGCTGAAATTTATGCAAGAAGAAACAAAACTAATCAGCTCACTTTAAAGCAGGAAGCATGGCAGTTGATGCTCAAGTCCTCCAGGACCATCTTGGCATCTGCGGTGAAGGGCTTACGGCAGTAAGTGCACAAGTCTTTCTCAAGAACCAGCCTGCATGCAACAGATGTTGATAAAGTGTTTTAAAGTATATTAAAAGAATGCCAAGCATTATTCTAATTTCATTATTGACCTTGGAAACAGTAGTTTGGGACCCTTTTAAACCCTTGCTATAGGTTATGTGTGAGATGAAAAAGCCAGTAAATTAACCTTGAGTTAAGATAATGTTAAGCAGTCAGTTAAGATAGTTAAGTTAATGACATGGCTTTCAGTTCACCACTCTGGTTTAGACTGAATTATCTCAACAATTACTGGTATTCATGGTGCCCAGAAAAGTCAGTGTGTTCTAAACTTTGGTTTATGACCACATGCCAGCAGATTTAATGACATTCCCATCAGCTTTGAGTGTAATTTGTGTTTTGTGCTCATTAAAAACTGCCACAGAAAGTCTTGTTTTCTTGTCAGTCCAATGTTTCTAAGGTCAAGAAAGATTGACGTTGCACTTTTCATACCTATCAGGAGCTCCGTACACACTCTTGCTGGAGGATTTAGAGAAGACTGAATCTGGCATGTCTTCTGACCTGCTGTGATAACCACACAGTTATCAGTTTCTACACATGACCCAGTTTTGCTTTACTCTCAGATAATGTTTGTACATTAGTGTTAAACCCATCCATGTCTAAGATCATTTAATACCTGCTACTTCTGTATGATGATGAGGTGTAGACAGAGGGACTGGTGACACTGCTGTACTCATAGCTATAAAAAGACAAAATGAGCCACGCATCACACATGAGCTTTAGAATACTGTATTTCCTACTTACTCTACACTTCTATTTAAGTTTACAAGTTTGCTCTGCTTCCTACCTGGTGTCTGGTCTGGAGTAGGAGTAGGTTTTACTGTCAGTGCTGTGTGTACAAACACAGAGCAGATTAGGGATAACAGAAAGACTGCAGCCACATCTGGCTGTATGATGAGAAACACCCCTGCCAGAGGTGTGTGTATGTGAAATGTTGATAACAGTCAAATAATTACCTGGGCTTGCTACTGATGCTGTAGGAGGTGGTGGTGCCAATGGAGGAAAGATCAGAGTATGAGCTGTGTGTGTCAAAGAGGCACAGGAGTGAGCTGCAAATGGTAGCAACTGAAATTTGCTTTTCTCATTGTCTTTATTTGAGTTAATTTGAAACTTTATAACAATATTATAACTCAGAAACCAGGCATCAATACTATTGTTATACAGTTATCTGTAATACTTTATTTTGTTGTATCAGATGTCTCAGTAAAGTTTGTTAATTCTTGAAAAGTCTGGAAGATGAGAGAAGATGCCAGTAAAGCTATCAGTTGTAAAATGTCATACTTGTTGGTTTTTAAGGATCTGTGTATTTTGAAAAGGTATATACAGATATAACCTTTTGGTAATCCACTTAGAAGATGCTTAAGAGGAATTTGTCTGATAGTTATAAAAGCTGAAAAATTCCCATCTGGTGCAACCCGCCCCCTAGTGGTGTGGGGTAAAATACCCCAGTAGGGCCTACATCTGTATTTATGTCTTTATTTTTATGTTCTATGTTGATTTTTGTTGGTGTGTAAAAATGGGTAAGAGAAAAAATATATAGCGGGAGTGTAAACGACATAATTACTGTGGTTTTGAAAAAAATAAACCTAAGACACGTTTCCACTGCTGACAGTAAAACCTGAATATTAAGTACATTTAACATGCTGATAAAAAAAACGAACATATTGTAAAATAAATCATAATTTAGTCACATAGTTCTCTTTGAAATATAAAAATGGTGAAAATGGAGCAAAGTATTGGGTCATGTTTGAATGTAAATGTAGTGATATACCTTGTAAGCACAGTCACTGAAAAAGAAATCAATTTAAAGATGTTCTTGTTTAAAGAGTGTTCCTTATATACATTATAAAATCCATAGATGGCTAAAATGACTTATCTGACAATAATATTTCATACTCTACCAGCACATTACATTATCTAGAGTGGTTTAGAGATGATCATATTGTACATACAAAGATAATTGCACATGCTCACTCACTGATTTTTCAGCACTCACCTTCTGCTGCTCTCCACTGTGATGACCTCTCTCTTTGAGACGCTTGATTTGCTGAGACAATGACAATGTCTTGTTTCACTTACAAGATGATTACATGGTTATTTGTTTTGTTAAAGTTATACTATGAGACAGCTTACCTGACTGTAGAAGATTTGACGCTTGATGTAATACCGCTTGGTAAGAGAGTGCCATACAGCTCATCTTCAGGTCTGTAACAACAGCATTATTATAAATATATGGTAATTCTGTAATCCTTATATTTCAAGAGTATTTACTTTTCCTAATGACTGAAGGTTTATCTTACTTAGAGGCTGTCCTTGTTTTGGTTGAAGTTATAGTGCCATCTCTGAAAAGTCAATATAAGGCAAAAATATTGTTTATCTGACTGTCTGATGGATAATGTGACTGAGACTGTATGTAAGCTGTCCAGCAGTAACTCACCCACTCATGCCATTTCTCACTGTCACACTCTCAGTACTAGAGACAGTTGTTTTGCTGTAATCAAAAGAACAAGTCCCCATTAGCATTTATAAGAAGCATATAAACATTTAATAAAGGGTTTAGCACAATATAATGTGGTTGTACACAACTAATTCTTATTAATGTCTAAACCGGTAACTTTTTTCTTTGAGCACATGGTTTACATGCTATTATATTAGTGTTTTACTATATTGTCATTTATTATCTGTTTATACACATTTGTTGACAAATACTGTAATAATATTTGTGTGCAACTACAGTGTAGTGTGAGTGCACATATTACTTGTCTGTGGCATTATCTCTGGACCTGGACCTGTATGTATCATAGAAATTGTCCTCATCACTGCAGGAGAGGAAAGAGGAAAGATATATCAAGCTTTGGCTACACAGGGAGTTCTTCTTTGAGGGATAAATGTCTTGTTGATTTTTGATGGGACTTATTGACAGTAATAAAAACTATAGAATATCACCAGATAGCGCACAGCTTGTATTACACCCACTAAGGGATAAAACTCACTCATTGTTTTTGCCACTTTTTACTATCACAGTCTCAGTTTTGGAGATGCTTGTTTTGCTGCAAAGAAGAAACAACAGAATATAATAGAATAATATACTTATTGTCAGATGCCACCATTAATATAATAAAACTAATACCTGTCAGCAGCTGGGTAATCATCCCTGATAGTTGAAGGAATGAGTTTGTCATAAAGTTGATCTTCCGCACTGCACAGAAACATATTAAAGACATCTTAAATTGCACCCTGTGTATAGATTAAATTCCACTATTGCTCAATATTAATATTTTTAATAATCTGATGATATCTTACTCTTTACTGCTGGAAAGAGTTCTAGAAGGTGAGTAGTTTGGATACTGTACACTGTATGAAAAGATGTTACAACTGATCAGCCTCTCAGTCAGATACATGCACTGCATTTTAGAATTAGCACTGCTGCATCAGTATCGACAGTCTTATACTGTTATATATCAAATAAAAATAAAAACTCTTCATGGGTAATTGTTGTGTAAAACTTTCACTTTTTTTGCTTATGATACTTCTGTGCTTACACTTAAATAAAATTTTGAATGCAGGAATTGGTTTTAATACTTTGTATTTTTACATTGCTGCCCTACTTTAGTAAAAGATCTTAGTTGTTCTGTGACTGATTAGTATAGTAGTATTGTTACTCTCTGCTTGAAGACATGACTCGCTCAGTAAATGTGGTGGGGCTTTTAATCCCAGGAGATCTGAAAAGAAAAAGAAGAAGAAAACCTTTGTCATTAATCTGATACAAACAATGTGTGATAAGATGATGTGTATTAATGCCACAGTATTATACTTAAGACTCTGGTTGGTGGTGATGATGGTCTCGGTGGTTTTGCCGCCCTTGGTGACTGTAGTGGTTGTAGTGCTAAAAAGGGAGTAATAAAAAAAAGTTACACAATTCTTCAGCATAAATTGTTAAGTATTCATAAGTAATTGCTTTGTACCTTGTCCTGGGTTCCTCTGTTGAATATGTGCTGCAACAAAGAGGCAAACAATTCAAATGATTCCTAAAAACAAATCACTAGATATTATACCTTTAGTTGTATTATATTAAAATGTACGTTTTGGTGTAGGAGGAAGAAGTCTTGCTTGATGGGATGGAGCTGTTGGTAGAAGAGATTATTAAAAAGATTATTAAACTACAGTTCTGGGTAAAGCTGCTGAAAGTACATTGAGGAACAGAAGTTTATACATTCTGTACCAACCTGGTCCTCAGTTCATCCTGGCTTCCAGTGAATCTACAATGACAAAAGTTACAATCAGTGGTTCCTGTAATAATTTGCTTTGTATGACATGTCTGCACTTATCAGTATCAGAAAAAGATGCCAGTATATTTGTATAAATTATACCTTTTGGTTAGCGAATGCACAGATGTTGATGAGCTCACAGATCTGGTAGTTTCACCATCTAGTCTAAAGAATTAATGACATAAATTATTATTTGTATTGTCTCCAGTCACCACAGTATATTATACTTTTCCATTAATTTGTCCTTTATTGTGAGTTAACTTGAAACCTTTGTTTTTTTTCTCAAAAGAGTTTCACTGGATCTGTACCAGTTAAGAATAGATTTGCCAAAGTTTGGGTCTTGGCTGAACGGAGAACAAATGAATAAGGAATTAATTCCCTCATACTAGCATAAAGAGATGACTCAACACTGCAACTTGTAAATGGAATGTAGCAAGAAGACTTTTCATGATAAAAGTAAACTGAGATATGCACTACAAGTCACACCCAACAGTTCTGCCATTCCTCAAGTGCATGTGCTCATTTGTGTGGAATTTGTGTTTTTGTTTTCATTATTTGCATAACTTACTCTGCAAGGTCATCCTCATCATCCACTCTTCTGATCCAGCTGTTGTCTTGCATTAAAGATTTCTTCTTGCCGTTATCAATTGTCTGGCTGGTGCTTGCTGCAAACACAAGATGAAGTAAACATGAGTGCCTCCAGCTCACATCAAAGCAATTACGCATCTTTTACAGATTTATATTGACTAAATGTAACACAACCAAAAACTATTACCTCATATTAAAGGTTACATGCCATTAAAGTGTGGCCGATTGGTTGAAATGCCACCCTGCAATTACTGCAAATATTTGAAGATGAAAAAGCTTGCATTTGTCACATGCGCAAACAATATGTGCACTGAAGTGCAGGGTGACAAATGCTTAATGCTGTGCACAGCGACTGCTATGAATTAAATAACGGTGACTAGAACTAAAGTTAAAACAAGAACCAGAGATCAAATCTAAAAAAGTATCTCTTTCTCTCTCTCTCTCTCTCTCTCTCTCTTACTCTCCATGTACACAAATTTATCTATCTATCTATCTATCTATCTATCTATCTATCTATCTATCTATCTATTTATCTATCTGTCTCTATATAGATAAATAGATAGATAGCTGGATAGATGAGCATCATATGACAAATTTGACTTTTGAATATTGAACCTTGCCTCTAAATAATTGTCACTCCATGGAATTTCTTTGTTAATGGTATTTGATTATTTAACATTTCTCAATACTTACAAGTCGAATACCTACTCATTTTGTAACTTCACCTGTAAGGGTAAAAGAACAAGAAGGGAATTCATCACATAATAAAACTACAGTATATTGGTCACTAGGTGGCACTGTGGGCTGAGGCTTTTCATAGAGTGCATGTTCTGTACTGAAGTTGAACCTGCGTTTAGTGCACATGTAAACTCAAAAGCTAAGGGATTAATGCTTTTTATCTGCAGTATCTCTGTATCATTGTGTCTCCCCAGAAGCATGTGCATCTGGACGTTTGTGTGAACTTACCATGTTGGGTTTGTCACTGTGCCTGCACCTATGTCAACTTAAATTCTGCCAAACAGGTTTGTCTCATTACGAACCCACATGAAGACCCACCCGCCCACACCTTCTCCAAACATAACATTGTCAGTAAAACAGAGGGGCGTAAAGGATAAATCACATTATCTACTAATGATGACGATACACTGTAGACTATGTGAACACTGTCATTTCTACAGACCAATACACATCTGACAACCTTTATTAGTCCAAAAGCATTTTGTGTGTTTATGGTTGGGTTTGTCAATAATATTTTTGCTTTTGTGAAATAGTTTTGTATCTCACATTCATGTAACAGGTGTCTTGAGTTAAAGATGTAAAACAGAACATATCTTGGAATTTTCTGAATGGGTTAGATTGCTGGCCATTCTCAAAAGTAAACCTTAAAGGATTTTAAAACAGATTAAGTAAAGATTATGAACTTATTGTAGAAAATTTGCCCCTGAGAATTAAACAGTTATATTTCATATACAATATTCAGGTTTGAAATTATCCTTTAAATACCTCTAAATGATTTGTCTATATACAGTAATTTTGTGTGGCAGATCAGATCTTTGACCTTTGATCATTACGTAATCCTCATACACCTTTTTTTGGTAGTTTTTCCATACAAAACACCTTGCCTCAAAAAACTCAGTACCTAGGAAAATTGGCTAAAGATTTGAAAAGAGTCTGGGTTCTTACCTCCACAGACGTTCTATGAGTAACTACAGAAAAAGTGTTGCTCAGTGTAGTTCAGGTCCCAACACCCGTCTATCACCCTGCAGTATGTAATCGCACTCTTGCAATTCCTTCTGCTTTAACCTTTAGGGAGGAGATTCCAGAGCCACCCAAGGGAGTGGCTTTACAGAACAATCAAAGAGTACTGCCTCTCTCACTCCAGAATTTTCTCTATTGGTTGTCACCATTCTTGTTTTAATACCTGCTCTGCTTCCTGTTTGTACATTGAAAAAATGGGCTTGGTTGGAGTGATGAAGGACCTGTAATTCAACTTGGGTGTCAAGGAAGCTGAACTGCAAAAAGGGTTTGGAATGCTGTACTTTATACTTTAACTTACAATAGGCTTAAACCTAATGGAGACACTATTAAGACATTCATATTCAGTGTGGCATAATAGAAGTAGAACTATATTACAAGTATATCAATCCTTCCAAAAATATTAATCTGCATTATGCATGTATATTAAATGACATTTTAATACATATATGGCTGACAGTGGACTTTGCACACATTTATGCTAATAAAAAGTTCTGGAAAGTAATATAATTTCAACTTGATTTTTACTTTCTGGTTACAGGTGTAGCTGTGATCTTATAAATGTCATAATATCCGAGATGAGTCATACACACTAACAGTCTGGTCACAAAAAAACACCCTGGGAACAAGATGGGCACACAACACACCATTGTCTACTACTGTTGAGCAGCTCTTACCATACTTTTAAATACTGAAACTTAGAATGAAACTGATTCTGAGCTGCATTTAACGTTATGTACTAATTAAGACCAAGACATCTGTAGTGCCATCCAACAATCTACCTATTACATACTGAGAGAAGCAACTATTTGATGTACAGAGGTCTGACTAATCAGGAAAGAGCTTCAATCTTATGTATCAGTCAGGCTTAAACTATGACTGTCACACTGAGTGTGAGTTTTAGTATTGGGAGTGGAGTTTTTGGACAACCAAAGGTATGCAAGGTGCATAGCATGCCAGGGTGTGAAAGTAGTAAGACACTGATAGCTGAACCCCGCCTCGTCATTGTGACATCATGTAAAGAATGCAGACTACCCTGCAATGACCCAGCTTCTAGGCTAAATGTCAACAGGCCGTTTTTTAAACAGACAAATATTTTGAATGAATAAACATGACCACATGCCACATTATAAAGGAAATATTATACATTCAGCCATTTCACTCTAACTGAATTAGCAGCTCAGCTAATTTAAAGCATGGAAATGAACTTACGGTTACAGAATAATCACAGTCAAGCCCTGCATATGGTATTATTGCCACTCATTATCCAACATAATGTCCTGCTCTCTTTACTATAGGGCTGCATACATTCATGGTGGTACTTTAACTCTTTTGGTGGAAATGATAATACTGGTTTTGCAGCTCTAACAAGCTTATGCTCAGTTTACTCTCTGTTACACATGTTAGTCAAAGGTGCAGAAATAAGTGTGCTTTATAGTGACTCAAACATATAGTAGTCAAAACACAAAGAAAAAGGAATGCAGCTTTGGGAATGTGTATTTAATTTCCAGAGAGAAAGACAGGTCAGTCAACCTTTAGTCACTCCAGTGATTTTATAAATGAAACAGCTTAAGTGGTATTGTGTCAGGACAACCGAACGGTACCGACACACTTTCATATAAATGCAACACCCTGTTTATACTGTTATGTTTGTTGTCTGCTCTAAGGCATCATCTTGGAGATCCTGCCCCTCTCCTCTGTTTCACCTAATTGGACAACACTGAGACATCCATGGATTAAATGAGCAGTCTCTGAATGTGACTGTATCTTGAGGTTACACAGTTCAATGTCAAATCATTCTCTTTTTATAACCATTTATCGACGACTACTACGAAATAAACAGTCAATGAATGTCAGCAGTTTGTGATTCGGCTTAGTTATGGTGCTTTTATAACAGACTATTATAATACACTTCAACTAAGCTCTATTTCATTGCTGCTGTTTGATGCTGAAACCCTAATAGCACAATCCATCAGTTTTATGTCTATAAATTCTTCTGTTAACGGTCAGTTGCCATCACTGATATATTGTATGTGCAGACATTTGGCAGGATAATCTCTGAATGCTTCCTATGTAGGTTGCTATGAGAAGAGACAGTAGACCGACCCCTCTCTTGTCATTGGGTTACTGCAATACCTCGCAGCCAATAAAGCACCTCTAAGGCCTGTATACATTATACATTACATTTTCTCTCTCTCTAATAAATGTACATGCACATCCACATTTACATCACAATTTAAAAAAACAGGACATTAGATTACACTTTGACAGAGCCTGTAGGATAAAGCATTTGGAAATTTTACTAGCAAAATACATGTTCATGCATGTACTCAGTCAAAACCTCAGTGCCTGTCTAAGTGATATACAGTGTTATGTACATTTCTGTGAAAGGTGCACTGCATGCACCTAAACTGTGTACACCTTTGCTTTGCAGTGTTTGACTTTTATTTGCATTGATGCTACCCAACACACAATACACACTTGCAATATTTCCATTCTTTTTGAACTCTTGTGTCATCTCTGTCAGAAGGTGAAAATGAAAGTATTACCATAATCATAACTGGCATAGTGAATTACTGAGGGGCTTCAGAATTTTCATAAAAAACTCTTATCTATTGCACTGGGTAGTTAAGACTATGTACTGTAGGCCTCAGGAGGCTTCTCCTGCTGACAGTAGTCATCGGAGAGAGAAGTATACAAACCCTGGACGTTGGACCAGGCAACTGCTATTATTTAAGGGAACAACAGTAAATGGATTTTAAATGATAGTAACAAAGAAATTGTGATCTCTAAAATAGAAGCAACATAATGTGTTTTTAAAAATCACACCAGAGCTTATTTTTGTAGGCAACAAAGCATTTAATCGCTTTTAAAGTATTCAGTCCAATTTTAGATCAAATTGTCAAATTGGGAGGGGCCCTGGGTTGGTCTCTGCAAATTAAATATCCAACTGTGCACAGTGTGCAAAATAACCTATTTGGTTATATCTTCTGTCTATTGTGCTATCTTTCCCCTCCACCAATGTTGCCTTGTATTAAAATGAGATATACATCAATATAATCAGGGGAGTAATTACTCAAATGAAGGAATAATAGCACGGCTCGGCTGGTTTACACGCATGAAAATATCCCGGCATGCTACAGACGCAAAGCTCAGCCAGGGAGGGAGGGATGATGGAGTTAAGATGGCAGCCCAACTGAGGGTGCTGTCTCTCCGGGGTCAGGAAATATTCAAG